GCTGTTGCTGGGGGGTAGTCTTCTTCCGCCGATATGGTTAAATGGTCTCCAGGTTGTTGCTGAGCGGAGGCGGCATGTGATCCCACTTCTGATGACGGAGGAGAAACGCTGAAGGAATGTTTTTAAAAAGTGTGACGTCACCATTGCTGACGTCACGGTCATTAAGTTCTCGACGATGACTCATGTTTGGGCTTCCAAAACAAAACTTCAAGAGAACTGCGTATATTGCACGAGAAGCATAACAACGTTACAGAGAGATCCGTACTGTGCTACGGCTCGGACACGAATGAATCAACGCTAGACAGCACGGCCGTATTTATAGGACTTCGTACACGTCAGCGTGTTTACAAGTATTAAACACGTGAGCGTGTTTACAAGATTTTAAAGTATTGAAATTACAATAAAAGGGACTGTTTAACATCAATTTCTTATCACAGAGTAATTAGTTGATGATCAGTAGGTAAATAGTCATATTTGCGCCGACATATATATTCCTCTAGACTATGTTACGTAGTATCGAAAATATCAACACCTACTTTTAGTGTTAGGGGTTAAATTGTGATAATTTAACGTACTAGTTAGGTACGGTTGTTACTATGAATTAAAATAGAACTAAGCTGGCCTAGGACCCGTGATTATTTTCTTGAAAATATGAGAGATTTAGCAAAGGATAATCTTACCTGAAAATACAAATATGAAGCCCACTTCAGTGATAGTAGTCAAATAAAAGATGCATCGTTACTAAACTGGAAAATAATTGCTTTGCAACTATTGTAGTATTTCTAGTAGGTACTGTACGTAGGTATGTAGTAGGTACTAGTACGACTGTAGTATTCATGCAGCTTCGTCAAAAATGGTCATCATATAATATGGGAATATTATGATACATCATGAACTTTTTTTTCCTACGTATGCTGATAGCTTTGAGAGGCTATTTCAGCTTCTCCTTGACGTGTACGTGAGCTTACAAGGCTCTAACCGGGAGTGCTGCTAACACTGGCCCTAGCAAGACCAGTGCTTCGCAGAATCTAGCACAGAATCGGAAACGCGACCCACTGAGAAGATCTGACGAGAAACTTAGTGGGCTGTGTCTATGGGTTAATTCACTCGTCGAGCCCTTCGTCGCAAGCGACGGGTTCGACGAGGACGGTGATTAGTGCTTGTGGTACCTAAAAGCACAGTTAATGGATCGGGAGGATCCGTAGTGACGTGTTTAGGGTGACGTCGACTGTTTACCATTCGGTCTATAGGATCGGGTATGATCATGAACTAGAATTAGCTGGTAGTACTACAGCATTGAGTACATACGTGTATTAGTAAAAATACCTTTCTGATCCTTCATTTTTCTTTCATTACTATAACTCCAACACTCTTCGTGTAAAATATACATGACTGGTAAAGTTGAAATTAGAAGGATTCCATTTGTTTGTTCTGAGTGTACGGGTGGTGATTAGCCACAACCAACTTTGAGGTGTGGTGTTAAAGTGTCAATTGCAATGATATAAAGAATGTTTGTAAGCTTAGATTTGAATAACTGTATTTTACCTTTTCAGCTCTCTGCAACGAGGACCCGAACGGTAACGTGCCCTTAGGCAAGTCCTGCAACCGGTACTGGCAGTGCCAGGGCGGATATCCTCGGCTGCAGCGTTGCCCTGCTATGTTGGTGTTTGACAGGCGCTCGCTGAGATGCGTGGTACCACCCACCGAGGACTGCGACATCCCCACCACCACCGCTCCACCACCAGAAGAAGAGCAGCAGGATGCGCGACAGGTATCTTAACCAACTTCAATACAGCTAATTTTGGTTATGTATTTGAATTCCATAACAATATCGTTTTTACGTTTATCGGTTTAAATATGAACATTTAATGTTATGTCCGTGCTGATTTTATAAAGATTAAATAGCACTCAAGCTCTTGCAATTTGTCGAGTAAAATATGTACATTAAATATATTTAGACAGAGCGCCGGTCCACAGAGCTCCGGCTGTGATGTCTATTATACTATGTCGGCTTAAGGTTAGAAATCTTATATATTAGGATTATCTCGATGCAACTGATGATTAGCTAACTGAATCTAAAGAGCTCACTGTGCTTAGTGCGAGTTTCTTAACGTTCTCGATAGCGTAAAAGTTAAGCCAATTTTGTATGCAGTTGGAACAGCGCCCCTAGCGGCAAACGTACGCAAACAATCCCATTCCATACAAATATGAGTTAACTTTTACGCTATCGAGAACGTTAAAAACCTCGCACTAAGCACACTAATCGAAACTAAAATTTCAGATAACGATACATATTAATATCCTATTCTGAATAAGAATTGTAATGCGTTAAGATATTGTCGAGATGCAGAATTTTTTCTAAAATTCCATTAATGACATGCTATCTACAAAAAAAAGTCCGCTATATCCTCAGCCGAAAGCCAATGTATTAATATGTCTTTTATTTAGTCGCATTAAGAACACCCATGAAAATACAATGTTTACAATGAAAATGTAAGTTCTTGTCAAAAATTCACGATTAATCAACTCAGTGTCACACACAGCAAATTAAAATACATTTTACATTACAACTGTACATTTTCTCGATACAATATATTGAATCACAACTCGACCACCTTCAACGAAGTCACTTGAGACCGTTCACAGCTTCGCATGTTACTGACAAACAGAACTTTATGAGGTACTAGCGACCCGCTCTCGCTTCGCTTCGGAAACTGTAATTTATTATTGATTTCTCCATATTTAATGGATGTTATTATACATATAAACCTTCCTCTTCAATCGCTCTATCTATTAAAAAAAACCGCTTCAAAATCCGTTGTGTAGTTTTAAAGATTTAAGCATACATAGGGACAGACAGATATAGGGACAGAGAAAGCGACTTTGTTTTATACTATGTAGTGATACACAGATCCAACTGTTGTTGATTAATTCTTACATAGAACGGCGACTCTATCTTTCACTCAAAGCGAGAGTTGAATGATTGAAGGTGTTACAAAAACAAGAAACGAATATTGAGTTTTAGTTAAATTATTCATTAAATTATTTAATTCGAGGATTCATGATAAATTATATACTATTTATAAATCGCGTGTACAATCAAAGCGAAACTACCCAACCCACCTAATATGTGAACAATGTTTCTTACTAAAAAGGAAAAAACTAAAAACGCAAAGTCGAAAGTCGTTCCTCTTTTAAGGATTATTTTAAGTATATCCGTACAAATAATCTAAAGTACACTTTAAAAGAAATTGAGTAATCATCCATTTAAATACCGCGCAATGGAAGTCAAATTCTTGAAAGAAAACTGATTGTGAGTAGTTACCGTCGCCCATGGGCATGTCAATGACATAGCCAAGCTGCTCCCTACCGCAGATATAAATATAGATGCCGAAATATGATTAGGCATTGACAATAAATATATTAATACGATATTTCTACCCACAAATTGCCTACTTAAAGCCTACTTGGAACTAAAAGCTGCCTTTTCAACTTCCAGGGACAACACCAGAAGCGGCCCTCCAACGATTTCCAAGAGCAGCAACAGGGCCGCACAAGACCGAGGAACTAATTCCTGTACGACTTTAATTAGTTCATGTTTAATTTTAACCAAAACTTTTTTGTACTCTTTGTAAGGACGCCTTCTCATTTCCCACCATTTTGTGGCGCCCAACAATGCGATTATTAAACGTCTCTAAAACTCATTAAGATAATTAACGCAAAATGGCTCTACGTTTCAATAATTATTATAATGAGCAGAACACGAGAAACGCCATGTAATTATTTATATGTAATGTTTATGTATGCCGAATAATGTTTTTATTTTATGCAGATAATGTTTCGAAGTCACAGATAATAAATATGACAGAATGCATTCTTTGGCACACAGATAAGATACAACATGCCTACGTAAATGAGTTTAATAATTTATCGCATTTAATTTCTACTTCAGGCTTATGGTATGTATAGTCGTTTATTATGTTGGGATTATTGAAAAATATAATTTATCTGTGCTCATTGTATATGTAAACATTTTTTAATCTGTCACAACTCTGTACTCTATGTTCAAGTATCTCTATATGAAGGATTCTTTGGTAGGAACGCGAGCAATGAAGTTATTTGAATTGTTTTATTTAATAATTTTGCTTATTGGGAATATTAATCATTTTCTATATGTAAAAGTGCACAAGAGTGAAAAAAAACAATTTCACTGAAAGTAGCATCTCTGATTCTTCCGAAGAGTCCCTTGAATCTCACCATTTCGTTTGGTGATTCATTTATTTCATCCTATATCCCTTAATTCCATCCCATTTCATGATATTGTGAACTTCATTTCATGTCATTCTCGTTTATTAAGCTAAATAGGGCTTTGACTATATGACATAAAATACTTTTCTGTATTAGCTACATTCCCTTTATCTGGCTGGCAAAAGAAACAAAAAAAAGTTGTATTCACTCCCAATGTCTCAGTTTAGTTATGTAATTATTTTTTAAGGTTTTATCGTAAGTGTAAAATACTGCCAAGTGTCTAATAAAATACTCTTTACTTTAAAACTTTTTTTTTACTCGTATCTCGGTCGTTTCTCCCAAAAATATCGTTTCCCATTATACCTAAAGGTAGAACACCATAGTACCCTCATTAGTTTTCCTTTTGCAAGTCAATTTATCGTATTCTCAAAAACCACTGAACAAATGAATATAAACTTTAAGGCCTACGGGCTAAGGTTTTGAATTGTCGAAATATTCATTTGTAATCATTGACTTTCTAATAGCTGGGTGGTGGTACTTACCCTTGCGAGCTCACAAGACACCCTACCATCCGTAAATGCGCAAACTGTTATTTTTGCGGGTTTGATTTTTGTTACATAATGCTATTCCTTCACAGTAGAAGTGGTTCAGCAACATTTATTAATACGTAACGACGTATTTAATTAATTTAATTGATACCTGCCTGCGAGATTCGAACACCGGCACAGTTGTATCGCTTGATACGAATGCACCGGGCGTCTTATCATTTAGGCCACGATGCGGCCATATGCAGCCTCCTATTTCCTAATACCAACCAATAAAACGAATTACCACCATGTCTTTATCGATAAATACGTCTACATTCTTAACGTAGACGACAAATAGAGTGTTAAGCTTGTCTATAATCCCATTACCAACAAAATTAGCGCTATTAAGTCACTATTACTAAGAGTCTTTTGTATTTTGTACAATTAAACTAAAAGTCGTTTGTACTTTGTAATGTAATGCAATCTGAAGTCAGAGAAAACTTTTATTAGGTAAGCTATTAACTACTCGAGTCGCTGAAGGGTTAGAAGGTAATTGTGTTACAGTAATTAGTAATACTATAGTGGCTGATTGTACCATCCAAAGAATAAAGATTACCCCACAAGTCGTTAATAATCGATACCGCATTTTCTTATAAATGGTATACATCTTCTTCTTCTTCTTCTTCTTATCAGCCTATGGACGTCCACTACTGGACATAGGCCTCCCCCAAGCCTCGCCACAAAGACCGGTCCTGCGTTACCTGCATCCGGCGGGTCCCCGCGAACCTCAATAGATCGTCGGCCCATCTTGTGGGAGGCCTACCCACGCTACGTCTTCCAGTACGTGGTCGCCACTCAAGAACTTTCTGGCCCCAACGGCCATCCGTTCTGCGAGCAATGTGTCCTGCCCACTGCCACTTCAGTGTCGCAATCCTTTGGGCTATGTCGGTTACCATGGTTTTCCTGCGAATCTCCTCATTTCTGATTTGCTGTGTGTTGCCATTGATGACATATGGCACTGAGACGTGGGCGCTCCTCCTCCTTGCATCGTATTCCTCATTGCTGAGGGTCGTGACCACCCTTTTGTATCACCTTCGCACGCACGATTTTTCTCCATCCATTCTTGTCTCTGGCGGTGTGGAGGGCGTTGTGAAACGTGGAATCAAGAGCGGTGCGGATCTGGTCGGACCAACGTATTGGGCTGCGCCCCCGAGGTCTTTTCTTTGAGGGCGCTCACAATGGGCCTTATGAGAAGGTCACCCAAAGATCAATGGTATACATAGGTGATGTTATTATTTTTGCCTCTGAACGCAGTCCTAGGATGGACTTGTTTTCACTTTTTTTTTTTTTTTTTTTTGCTTAGATGGGTGGACGAGCTCACAGCCNTGTTAAGTGGTTACTGGAGCCCATAGACATCTACAACGTAAATGCGCCACCCACCTCGAGATATAAGTTCTAAGGTCTCAGTATAGTTACAACGGCTACCCCACCCTTCGAACCGAAACGCATTACTGCTTCACGGCGGAAATAGGCGGGGTGGTGGTACCTCTACCCGTGCGGACTCACAAGAGGTCCTACCACCAGTGATTACGCAAATTATAATTTTGCGGGTTTGGTTTTTATTACACGATGTTATTCCTTCACCGTGGAAGTCAATCGTGAACATTTGTTGAGTACGTATTTCATTAGAAAAATTGGTACCCGCCTGCGGGATTCGAACACCGGTGCATCGCTTCAACACGAATGCACCGGACGTCTTATCCTTTAGGCCACGACGACTTCGTTGTGAAATCTATCCGACAATCACTCAACACCAAAAAGAACATGAACTTTTTAAATCTTCGAATGAAAAAAATCCTCAGGATGGTTTAAAAAAAATAAACAAAAATATTCTACAAATTGTGATGATTCGCCATCTTTGCTTATTTAATCTATGGTAACCAGTTTTCCACCGGTCCAATTTCATCTACCTGCGAATGTAATACAATATTTAGATGCGGGTATAATTGGTATATAACAAATATATCGGTTTCCTACTTAATTTACCTCTATCCGTGATTTACCTCATGCGAAATTGAAAAAAAAAGTAACATGATATATAAAGTCCTAATCGCCAATTCGTTTGCAATAACCCAAATGAATGTTTCTTTGTAATTTTTAAAACATTATTCTAGTTGTGGTAATGTTTTATACAGTTATTGTCAGCAGCCTCTGAGAAGATTTATATCATAGGCCAAATATCTTACGAGACGTTGGGCGCGTGTAATCACAACAAATAGTGTATTTCATATATTTCGTGATGGTAACAGCGAAGCGTATTGAAAAAATGACTTTAATCAAAGATATTCAGATATATATAGGTATATAATTAAAGATATCTTTAAAAAAAATCATATTCTAGATATTATGTTGGTTTTACCGATATCATTTTCTCTGGCTACAGATCAAAATCAGTAACAAATACTATTATTATCGAAGATGATAATCTGTAAAAATGATATCGTCTCATTTTTTTAAAACCCTTTGTCTTACATTTATTCCTACAAAGATCCAAACATTCAATTTCTTAAATACCGTTGATGGGAGTTCGATCATAAGACCTGTCTGTAATGGCAAAGATAAGAGACAACTCAACTTCCTTCGTTGTTTCTCACACAAACGTGCCATAGAAATGTACAAACAATCACTTAACTTATTATAAAACACTCATCAATATCATGTGGATCCATCCATCATGCGGATTGGTCGGTCTGATGCTGGTGTGCGCGTCACTCCGTAGGTGCCGGCGGAAGATCAGCGCCGCAGTACCGATTGTTTCGTTACTGTTAGGCATTGCTGAGCCGGTAACCGTTTCCAAGCCTCGTTATTTTTGTTATCTTTTTTATTTTATTTTTGTACCTAATATGTTTGGAATAAATGTTTATTATTATTATTATTCTTTCTTTCTTTTTTTTTTCTCAGCAGACGCTGGTACGTATTTATTATTTACGGGCCTTAGCCAAGTAAATAATAAAGAATAAATATTTTTAATGTCCGTTAGTTGAGCTTTCTTCTGTTTCTAAAAACTTACGAACAGTTCTACAGGTATTTTTATTATTAGTATTATTATTATCATCAATATGAAAAATAAAAAAAGTCGCTGCCATAATTTTGTTTTGAAGTATTCGCTTCAGATCAAAGTATTTTAATCCGTATATCAGCTAAGGCACCTACGAATAAATAAAACAAATAACTTATTATTTATTCGTAGTACACATTCGTAGGCACAGGTAAAGCACACATAATCAATATCATTATATCTACGCATGTTGATCGCGTTTCCAAACCTCAAGGGAGGAAGTTATGCCTGCTTGTTCCAATTTTTTCCACTTACACTCCCGAAACTCGACCTACTCATGTTCCACTTTATTTAAGGAGGCCCCTAAACGGGTACCGGTGCTTAAAAGCTCTCGCAAATCACTTAGGAATGTACGCTTTTTGATAGCGAAAACGTCTGCTACTTTCCTGCAATAGATGCTCGACAAATTACATAATATTATTTTAACGCATTCCATTTTTTCGTTCAACTAATTACTGCTACGTAAATAATCTAATTAATAAAATTTTACAAACTTAACACGTTCGCTGCGGCAAGTAAAATCTTAAACCTTTGTCTGGTGCGGCGGCGGGCCAAATTGTGCCCCCAATGATTTTTCCGCCAGTGCGTGGTAGGTCTTTTTCGACACGTCAGCACAAGGTTAGATTAAATTGCTATAACTTTGCGAAAACATAATGTAGGTGAACAGTTTTTGGACTGTTGGAAAAACCTTGAACCCAACTTCTTTAGATTTGATTCGCCCCGGGATCTGCCGAACAGAAAATGAGAAATAAACCAGGGAAAGTGGCGGGTCGATATCGACCAGAACCGCACTAGAAAGTATTTTTAGTAGTGATGGGAAAGACAAAAATAAGGGGATATCGAAAATAAAACAGAATTAAAGTAAAGAAATAAAAATTGTTTATTTAATTATTTATTAATGGCTGTCTTTAAAACATTTCGCACAAAGATTTTGCTTGCACATTCTGCAGTATGTTTTAATTTTTTTTACTTTCCTTTTCACCTCGGAACTCTTCATGGTTTCCCGCAGTTTTTCATTTTCTTGAAGGAAAATATCTTCTGACTGCTGTCACTATCACTATCTGCACCGCAAATTAATTTATTTTCCAAAATATTTATCTTTCTTTTGTTGCCTGACATCGTGCCTTTAATTTTAAGGAATAAAAAAAACGTGACGTACGTCAGTTCCGATAGCTTGCCCAACACTAACTGGCGAGGCGGGCGCTCTGTGCGGTATCGGGCCGCCAACAGCCTGTTGGGACGGCGGGCCACAATAGGCCTCCTCCCGCACCGAGTTGATATTTTTTACCGTCAGTGCGTAATAGGCCGATAAAGGCCTGCCGTGATGTTTTTATAGGGAACACCTATACTTTTGACCACAATCTCAAATATATATTTGTCTTTCTCATACCTTTACAAACACCTGAGATAATCGTTCCGCACCAGCGAGAGGGACATAGTTTTCTTCGTCCGCACCAGGTGAAATTCCGCGGCAGGCTGATTTGGGCCTGTTCCGCAGTGAACGTGTTAACTACCAGACATGCATAGCTGTCGTGGAAAACTAATTATGTAATATTAAAATACTGTTGTGATTAATATTAAAAAAAATTAAGGTAGATACCGTGAGGCCAATGTAAAAAGCCGGTGGGTGGACAAGGTTAAGTCGAGTCGAGTCGAG